GGCAACCTTCCGATTACAAGGCGAACTCCCAACTCTTGAGCCACGATCGCCCAGGATATGTGGCACATAGACTTGAGCAGACAGGGATCGAACCACTAACCTTCCGATTAGTAGGTGCCCCACTCTTGGTCCATTATCCTGGCTAGGGCCTACCAGGGGCAAATTGCCCTGGACAACATAGCTCCTGGAATGCAGGAACCTCTCCACTGTGATAATGCTGGGATTCACAGAGGGGTAAAGAAACCTAAGTGCAGCTTTAGTCAAAAGACTGGTGGTTTTATTTTGTGTTATTTTTTATCTGACCTTTGTTCATTTGTGTGTGTAGTGGGCGTGTGCTTGCTTGATTATGACTGTTTGATTGTTCATTTGTGTGTGTACTGGGCGTGTGCTTGCTTGATTATGACTGTTTGATTTTCTCAGGTCTCTGGAAAAGGGACCCGAGTAAGAGTAGCTGAATAAATAATTAGGTGGTCATAATGAGACTCAGTAATAATGAGTTCCACAGCCTCATGTGATTGCCTTAAGTGATCAGAGGACGAAACACAAATGGTGGCTGACTCACTGGTCCATTATCTGTGCTGCATATTAAAACATATTCAGAGAAATAAAGCTGCTTCGTACTTTCCTGGATGAGAACAGAAAATATTTTGTCTTCATTATTCTGAGGACGGCTTCTGATGAGCACTGATTTCATCATCTCCACCTCCTGAACACAAACATATCTTTAATTAAAAAAAAACAACAACAACAACAAAAAAAAACAAAAACGCTGAATGTTCAGGAACCTGGTTTTATGTTCTTAGTAGAGCTTTCCATGTAATGAACACTCATCAAACCAAAGTCTTGATATTCTATTTAAAATACAAAAACGAGAGCTGGATACATTTTGTGACAATTTTTAATTCTTCCTTGCACTTGAGTATATTCAGGTTTTCTGCTCTACCAACCTTAGGGCCATGAGAAGACATCATTGGTTCTCGAGCAGGTCCCAGAAGTCCTGGATGTTCTGCCTCATATAATATGGTTCTCATTATCCTTGAATGACTTACAGCAACTCTTGAAGTTTTAAAGTCCCTTGAGTGAATATAAAGGGTCACCTGGGTTGGTCCACTGGCCTGTACTGAGTGTTACCTACCAATAAGTGAGGAGGTTTCTTTAAAGAACTCTGTCCTCAAAAAGGTTTTAGTTAGGCACCAGAGGCAATTCCCAGTATCCACTGTTTTGGGGTTTCTGGCAGCTTTTGCAATCAGAATTATGATCTTAATGCATTGTGGAGTGTGACTGTACAAAGTGTACAGGATGAGTATTACTGTATGAAAACTAAGGTGCTGTTAAAACCCAGGGACAGTTGCTCCCTCACCTGGACACCCCACCCTACCCAATGGGCAAGTGGGCAGCCACGCGTTCCTCTGCAAACCAGACATCCCAGCATTGGGCAACCCACCCGACACAGCGAGGCAGCCAAAGGGACTTTTCGAGAGGAAAACAAAACAAAGCGTTTTAGGTCATCGCCCATTAAGATCAGTCTTCCTTTGAGTCAGCATTTTGGATTGCCAGTCCCTGTCAATAAGAAAATTTGAAACAGCAGGTGGCTGTCTTTATTCTTAGCCAGACCTTTGTGCCTAAGATCACTATATTAAGAATATCTATTTTTACTGACATCACACCCCCAAGGATTAACTCTACAGACACCGACTTCATTATTTGAAACCTGAAATTTATATTTAATGTGAGCATCAGTCAGTGGTGCATACACTCCCCAGCCACGTCACTGGGAACAACTTTGTGTGGCTGTGTATGTGTCTGTGCCATAATCATATTCTTGTGTTTCAGGGCCAGAGTCTGTTACTGGGCTTCCATCCTCTGTTTCATATGACTTGTCATCTGCTGCCTGATTGTTGAACTGATCTGTTAGTGAAAGTCTGCCTCCGAATGCACTGCATTTTACCTCTTCTGTTTTCTCTTTGTCTTTTGTACTTATGCATCTCTCTTCTGTGCAGAAATCTCTCCAACTGAGAAAGTTGGAGAGATTGTTTGAGGGAGTGAAAATGTGAATCTGCCTGATTGCCTGGGTTTGGTCCTCACTGCATGAAAGCCTTGTTTCCTTGGATTCATTTATTGTAAACCTGTGAACTTTGATCTCAGAATCCTGCATTTAAGTCTATCCAAGTCCACTGGTTTTGACAGATTCAGCTAAAGAAATGGGGATAAATGTGTTTTTGTGACAGGCTACCAACAACAAAGTGTCTAAAGGTACAATTTAAAATTGGTTCTTTGCTGAGATGTCTTTTATGAGTAGACACAAAACTTGTATATCCATTGAGTTAATTGGCCTTTTTTATAATAGAATGATTTATAGGTCCGTGTTACGTAGCTTACCAAGGAAGACATTCCTCAGAAAATGGTCAGGTACAAGGACTGGTCTGAAAAAGAGAGAAGAAAATATTTTAAGGTTATTGCTCAAGACCTCAAGAAATTGCAAGAAACTCAAGTTCCTTGTATGCAAAATAAAAAGAAATGATGGGTGGGTCAAGACTTTTGCATGGTACTGTATGGGAAAGATGCCTTTTTGCAAGCTGGAGTTAAAAATCAGCAACAAACTGGGTCACAGCTGCTGGTCAGCTGATCTAAACTACATTAAAAATTGACATTTCTGAAGTCTTTCCAGAGACAGACAGGAGGTGTGTTCACTGCTGCCCCATCATCTTCCCCCGAGTGTTGGATGGCGTCAGTGCTCAGCTGATCCATCATCACTGTAGACAGCAAGACCTCTAATTAAAATTCACCTTATCACCTCCAGACCCAAGTGACATGAGAAGAGATTCTAGGCAGTCATTAGTGTTGGTAGAGAACAAAACGGTTCTCAGAAAAGCATCACAGACTATAAACAGTGCAGGAAAAACTAAAGGGAGCAAATTAAATTAAGAAAAATAATAGATTACAACGCTGTAATGGTGCAAATTGAAAACCATGAAGCTTTCTTAACCATTTACCTGCATTAGGACATCTGTTTTTCAGTACTTAATTTTTGTCAAATTGCACAAAGGAATTTTTGAACCACTAGTGATAACTCTGTCATCTGTTCTTGCACCTGTTCCAGGCACAGTGACAACTTTTAAAATGCATGGTTGCAGGTGATCAACTTCAGCTATTGCGAAGCATTCCCACTTTTTAATGCCAACACACTAATACACCAGTGATCACATAGTAACACCTCAGCAGTCTGTTAGCAAAAACAAGCAAGCCACAGCAACCAGTGGCTGAGTGTTTGTGGGAGTTTCATATCTCCACTAAATGAAAGCTGCAACCAACCCATAAATGTATGGGGCCCTTGTACCCACAACACAATACTGAGCGTGTATCAGCGCCATTTTACTCAATATGAACCCCCCTGTGTAGCAACACCAAAACAGTAAAGTTTAAGTACTGAATTGAACCTGAATAAAATTGTTAATAATAAAATGCCTTCACTGATCAATTATTTTGATTGAACTGAATCCAGATGCTGAACAGCAGCAGATGATTCCTGTAGTTTTCTGTCACCCTCTGGGCCCCTGTTGCACAGCTGAACCTTGTTCATTCACTTAACACTGCAAGAAATGTTCCCCCAACGTTCAAAACACTTCAAGGTTTTAATGTGAAAGTGGCCTCTTGTGGTATAAAACTGCAAACTGTATATAAAAAGATGGAGGAGAGGTGACTCTTACCCTAGGCATTATCACTGTAGTTGTCCCAATGTGATTCTCTCTCTCTCTCTCTCTCTCTCTCTCTCTCTCTCTCTCTCTCTCTCTCTCTCTCCCTCTGTGTGTCTTTTAGATACAGACTGATCAGATTAGTTATCAGATAAGGCCAGCAATCCTAAATATCAAGGAGTATCCAAAAGGTGTATGAGCTAATTAATGCTGAGTGATAAACTAATGCTACAACTGTACTGATCAGAAACAAAAGAATATTTTTTTTCCACTTAATTTCATCAAAACTTGCTCCAAAATGCCCCAACAGCACAAATAGAGGTAGAGAGGTCAAATTCAGTGGATATTTTTATTTAATTAATTAATTAATAATTTTTTTTTTGCAGTGGCCACTCCTGTCTCCCCCCGTCTCCGTGATACGCATGCACGCAGATGAACAGACAGATGGACAAACTTCTGCTGGAGCTCAAGGGCTGAAGGACACCGTAAAGCGCAGGTGATAAGCGGCTTTAATCGGTTAATTTGGCCTCGGTGGCCTTTGTGCTAGCGGGCTGCAGGCAAACACTCGGGAGCTGGAAACATCCACGGCACGACACTTTCTCTGCTGTCTGACCCCAGAGTCCTTCGGCTATCTTCCCAGCATTAAAGAAAGAAGCAGTTTTCTATTGATATGAAGATTTTAATGAGCCAAGAACCGCATCTGTATTCTTCTGGATTTTTTTTCATCACTAAATATTCTTTGTGACAAAATCTGACTTCATCACCATATTTTTAATATTTAAATAAAAGTTTAACTTTGTAAATACCAACTTGTGTTTTTGTCCATCTGCTTTTACGCAGAGGATTTTTGCGTAAAAGGCGCAACGGTGCGCACTGGAGCTCGTCACTGCAGTCTGCTACAGTCTAAGTGGAGTCTGTGTGACAGCATGATAAGGCTACAGTGTGGCAGTCGGACTCCAACCCGGCCTTCATGAGCCCGTTGGCCGCGCTGCTGTGGCTCGGACGGGATCAGACCGACGCGGCGCAGATGGTGGCAAACCTGAGCGCAGCGCAGGAGGCGGGGACAGCGACCGCGGCACTGCACAACCTGCCTGCCCTGGTTTTCGGGGTGCTGCTGATCGTCGTCATCATCTGCGGCAACTTGATGGTGTGTCTGAGTGTGTTCGTCGAAAAGGCACTGAAAACCACCACCAACTACTTCATCGTGAGTCTGGCAGTGGCGGATCTGATGTTGGCGGTGCTCGTGCTGCCGCTCTTCGTCTATTCGGAGGTGAGATGCGACGGAACATACCGTCTTTGGAGATGTTAATTAACTGAGAAGGTCCCATAAATGAGAGACACAGCTTCCAGTTGTGTCTTAGGCTGCTAATCTCACAGGAGTATTTAGATTCAGGGACCCTAAAAACTGTTGGATCTCTTTCTGAGTCTTTGGGCACCAGATGGCAGGTCATTGCAGTAGCAGTTCTGGATGGCGTTCAACCAACAAATTATTTGAAAAGGCATTAAAAAGTTCATTAAATGTGCAGAATAAACCCTAATAATAGCAGAATCCATTACCTCTTTAAAATCCATGCCAAACAGAAATTCACAGGAGCTGGTTGACTTGAGATATTTAATTCCAAAGTAAACCAAAAACATTTTGCTGCTACATAAAAGGTCAATTTTCACAATAGAAATCCCGTGCTTACATTTTCTGATCTTTGAGTTTTATTTCTGTAAAAGATTATATAGATTTTGCATAAAATATTAAACAGCAACAAACCAAAAAAACTAACAAACTAGGCAGTCGATGTTATTAAAATTGGTGAAAAACAGTAAGACCCATGCAGAAACCAGGAGACAGTTTGTGTAATACACAAATTGATCTTCAGCTATGAAAATCACAATCACCCCAAATCTGCTTTTGTCAGCAAAGATATTCTCTAATGACTCCATATCACCACCTTTCATTGTTCCTTATTGATCTTCAGAGTGATGTTTTTATGCAATGCTCTGCAGGTTTGAAGCAAAGGTCAGTGGTGGTTTGACAGGGTCATGACCTGGTAAAGAAGCTGGACAGGACAGTTCAGTCCAGGTCAAACTTCCTGTTTACTCAGTAAGCTCAGTACGTTACTCTGCACGAACATACAGTGACTTGAAGGTAATAAAACAAAATAAAGAAATTAACATTTTTTTGAAATATCAAAGGCTGCCAGCAACCTTTAGCTGGTGGAGTGCAGTTCCTTTATAAAAAAATCTCAAATCACCAAAGTTTCAGACCTTTTTATGCTCAACCATCTCTGATTTGCATACAAATTTTATGGTCCAAAGTTTGGACAGGCAGAATAATTGCTGTGAAATTTTAGCTTCATATGTCAAATACTTATTACAGAACAATTACAGCTCCGGATTCATTTTTATGATAAGAAGGGGAAGTGAAATGTTCAGGTTTTTATCTTTAATAGTTTTCAACTTCCTGTTCAACAATTGACTCTGATTTCAATGTGTGGAAAAAATGGTCTGAAAATACAGCCTGAAAAGTATTTGATATATGAAGCTAAATTATCATAGGAATCATTGCATACATTCAAACTTTGTATCATAAAGAAACTGTAGAGTAGAAGGCCCGTTTTGATTTCAGATTGTGTGTCAAGGTAATTTTTGGTATGAGTAAACATTAAATGACAAGCATTTGTCTGCCTCTCAGTTCCAGGATGGTGTATGGACCCTCAACACTACCATCTGTGATGGTCTCATGACGATGGATGTTATGTTGTGTACTGCCTCCATCTTCAATCTCTGTGCTATCAGCATTGACAGGTCAGTACTCACCTGTACAGGTACACACAGCAGGATCTTGTGTTGTTCCCTTACATTGAAGCCGCACGGCAAGAGAACAGCAGACAATCAGCAGTTCGCTTGATGGACGGTATTTAACAAAAATCTCATCCTGGTGGTGATGATACGGGAAGTGCCAGTAGGTCAGTGATCTTGACAATAGGAATATTAGCTGAATTTCTTGGAACAAAATTTTAAGAACAATTACAAATTGTTCTTGAACAGTTGGGTCTCATTGAAAGTTATATTGCTTTCAAGAAGACCATACATCTGCAGCCTCTTCCCTTGAAGTTCACATATTGCTGTTTTGAACAGCAGTTAACACCAGCCTGTTTAAATGCTCTGGACCAGTAGCTGTGTAAAAGATTTTGTTTTGCTATGTTTATGGCTTTCAGCATATACTGAACATAAAGAGGTGTCACTTCAGTCATTGGTTAGCACGGGAATTTGAAACCTGCCACAGCTTTCCACTTGGAGCCAGGTCCTTCCAAAAGAGGAAGGTTAGGCTTTTTACACTCTAAAAACTCTTCACTCTTGTTACACTCCCATGACAACACAAAAAAGAATTCAGAAACCACAGGGGTCCTAAAGCCTTTTAAAGTATTACTGATGTCAAAATAATGCAAAAAGTACCTAAGAATACCTGCAGCATTTACTACAATGTAGTAATGTATACTTTTTAGTGGAGTGAATACTGTAATATGTTTTACAGCAGTAGGTTCTGTGAAAGATGCAAGAATGCCGCTCAGATTAGGATTGAACTTTCCACAGAGCACTGTGGCTGTTCTGTGTCTGTTGTCCTATTACAGCTGATGTTCCACACCTTACAAACCATAGACGTCTGACACTTTAAACCCTTTGTATTTCGTTCATTTAGTAACAGTATGGATCTGAATTATTCCCCCTCTTTAAGCTGTTAAAATGCCTAACAGCTTTTCTTCAACACTCTAACTAAAAAGTAGACCTTAGAATAAATGGCGACAGCTGGAACCAGAGATCTTTTTAGTCTGATCTGCATGATTGAACTTTAAGATGGGTTTCAGGGAGCTGCCATGTTGCTCATAACGATGGTGCTGTCAGGCTATTAGAAGATGCTCTCCATATTAGCTTACAGACATTTCGTCTGTTAAAGAAGTGCTAAGTTCAGTTCATTAACTTCGCAGTTATTCAGTTATTAAACGTGACATTAGTAAATGTACAAACCACCAAGGTAAGTGGAAGGTCATCCTGTGGGAAACAAGATGTTAGTTTTTGTAAAGCTTTTCATTTAAATCCACACATTCTAACCTTGTGGTGAAATTAAAAGTTAAAAGATCATCAGATATATCTTAGTACTCTCCATTCTCTCGGAACTCAGGAATGTATCTATACAAACATACATCTTGAGATACATCACAGGAAACACTTTGAAATGCTACTGGCCAGTTTAAATGACTTTCATGTCAAGTTGATCCATCCTCTGTACAAAAAAATTAAAAGATCATGACTGAGAAAATGAGTGAGTATGACTCATCATCTGGGTGTTATGAATATCCCGACTAGATTTTGTGCAAAACTATAAAGTAGATGTTGAGATAAATATCAAGAAAACAACTAGAAAATTCAAACAGACGTCACAAGACTCCGTATCCCATCAAAATATTTTTGTGTAGATAGTACATCGATAGATACTAATGAATGATACGTGATCTTATATTTATCTTATATATTCTACTCTACTGAAGGGCTCAAAGCATTTTATACAACATTCCTCATTCACACAAACACTATTCTATGTTTAAGTGCTTAAGCGTTAACTGAGAGTCACACACATTCATATAATGAACGCATCAGAGACCAACTTGGGGTTCAGTATCTTGCTGAAGTATGCTTTGGCATGCAGACTGGAATAGCCATCAAACCACCAACCTTCCGATTAGTAGATGATCTGCTTTGTCTCCTGAACTACAGCCACTCCGTTGTAGCTTGGACCACAATACTGGAAAAACAGATACAGGCTTAAACTCCACGTGTTCATTCCCGGAGTGGACTCCTAGAGAAAATATGAGGAAAAACTGTACAGTTGATGAAAAGAATGAGGTAAAGATTCACAACTAATGTAGAGACTCAAGACTCAAGAGTTTTAACTGGCCTCTCATGATTCAGGAACATTCAGGGACACCATCAGATCCAAAGCTTGTCAGGGTCAGATGGTTCTGATATGTCGGCGACCTTTTGTCTGACTCCTGTAAAAGCGCCAAAAGAAAACCCCCCAGAAAAGGCAAAATAATTTAAATCCCCAAATGAGGGATGAGTCCACTGCTGATGAACTGCCAGGTTCGCTCGGCGCTTGTTAGTATGTCTCATGAGATTATCCGAACTCTCAGCCGATGTTGAGGGATGACAAAAATTCAGGATGCTCTTCAAATCTGATGTCCTGACTCCAGAAAATATGATTACATCAAAGACTGATGGGGAGCAGTGAAGTTAACGTGGACTGATGATGATGATCTGAAGCTTTTTGAAGTAGCCAGCAGCGTTTAGAGGTTTAACTGGATGACAGTCTGAATAATTCAAGAGGCAGGTCAGGAGGCAGAATCAGAAGGTCTGCACAGAGTCCACCTGCTGTTAATGTTCATGTCTGAAGAAGGAACTCTTCTAGTTTTTAAAAAGCTGCCTGATAAGCAGCCGGTTTGACAGAGTCACTTTAGAGGGCTAGGGGCTTCTTTCAGAGTTTTATTTATTTACACAGTAAAAACAAAACAGAAAAAAAGATTAAGATGAAACTGGAAACATTCTACAGCTACAGCATCTTTCAGTCCCAACTGTAACTAATCACATAGTTACTGGCTGCAGTGTTTGAAGAGTACTTAAATTCTGCACTAGTGTGAAGATTCAGGTTAGTTTGATTTTATTTCCATAAAAAGATAAAATTGCCTTCAGTCTTAAAGAATTGTTAAGATGGCAGTGGAATTGGTACATGCCCATTTTAGGTGTTCTCAGCAGCAGACAGCCTTCCTGTGGTGAGCACTCTGAGTGTGGAGAACTACAATGTACAGTGCATTCTGATACCAGAGGATAAATCCTTCAAGCCCACCTTGAGACATTTTAAAAATAGTTTTAGTTCTTCTGCTATAGGGTTTGCAAAACAAATAAATCCTCTGGATGGGTTTTGTTCTTTTGTGGCTGTAAGACCACTGCATGCTTTTGGACATACTGGGACAAGAGATAAGGATAATAACACAAAACACCATCAGTACCAACTTAGAACCATATATCATAAACAAAACCTAAACCTAGTGTAGCAGCTCTAAGCTGGCTGTGATGCCATATTTCTGGCCCCTCTTGCAGGTTCATCGCTGTGTCAATCCCGCTCAACTACAACAGGAAGCATGTGGACCTGCGGCAAGTTGTTTTGCTGTCGGCCACCTGGATCCTGGCCTTGGCTGTAGCCTCGCCAATCATCTTTGGCATCAACAATGTCCCAGGCCGCGATCCGAGGGAATGTAAACTAGAGAATGATGACTATGTTCTGTATTCTTCCGTCTGCTCCTTCTTCATCCCCTGCCCCATCATGCTGCTGCTGTACTGTGGCATGTTCCGCGGCCTGCGACGATGGGAGGAGGCACGGAAAGCCAAGCTGAAGGACAGCATCCAGGCGTGCCGCAAGCTGCAGGAGGCCACAGCCACGTTGCCTCCTCTGGCTTCGCTGCCACCTCTGCTGCCTCCCATTATAGAGCGAGACCCAGCAGATACTCTTGATGAAGCATCCACCTTGCAGTCCCCAGACCTGCCCCCGAACTCAACAGAGAACAAAGACGGCCCTGTGCCAGCGGTCAGTTTTGCAGAGATTAAGTTCAACCACGACCCGCGCAGAAGAAAAAGGGCCAAGATCAACAGCCGCGAGAGGAAGGCTATGAAGGTGCTTCCTGTCGTTGTGGGTGAGTTCACTTCCTTCAGTAGCATTGAGGAGACATTTTAACTGAAAACGTTATAATCTAAAACCAAGCTGCCTTTGTAGTGGAAATTGGTTCGCTGTTGTTATTGGCCCTGTCCCTGCTGTGGCATTGGTTGGACTCTGAATGCTGAGGAGGCAGGCCAACGGAAAACAAGGAATTGAACACTTTAACTTTTCCTTGATGTTCTGCAGATATATATATATTTTTAGAGCAATATTTGATAGAAGTCCTGTTATAGAAATCACCATCATTGGGCTTGTTTTCAGTAACATCCTAACCACATAAGGCTGAATTAGGAACGTGCCCTGGGCTTACAAAAGCCCAAAGTGCAGCAAATCTTGTTGTACTAAGAACAACACTGATGTAACACAAACAAATGGCACAATTTAAGTGTCACACATTAAAGGTGGGCCTTGCGGCTGGTGTAGAGTCTGGATTTCAGGGATAATTTTACCCACTTTAAAGATATAAATGGTGTTGAAAGGTCAAAACACCATAACATAAAATAAATACAATAAAAGAAAACATGAAATCAAACAAATACAATATCATGTGACAAAAACAAACTAAAACACAGGCACCACAACATAAAAAACACGATGGGACTCAAACAGAGCTTGAATTAACAGCAATGGTATAAAAGTGAATTTTAAGACGGGATGTAAAAGACTGGAGGGACCCTGCAGTATGAATATCAAGTGGCAGGATATTCCAGAGTCTAGGAGCCTGATCCTGACATGAAAGCCTGATCCCCTCTAAATGAGGTCATTGAAGAAGGTATGCATACTTACTGATATTCAAAATATATATTGTCATTTGAAAAACAATCAACCATCATTATTTTTCTTCTTGTCCTTCTTGCTAAAACTGTTGCTGTTGATTTGATTGTCGGTGAACCTTTAAAGTGAATGTTGTTATGTCAGACATCTCTGCTCTGCGGCTACCTGAACTCTTCACCGCCACCTCTGATGCCTATCCTGAGGCACTAACAGATCAATTAGAAAGGGGTCAGTCTATTAATAGCAGCCAGCTTTGCTCCCTAATGCGAACAAGTGCTTTCCTTTAGCACACAGCAGCCAATCCTTACAGCTCCTTAATCTCAAATCCAATTATTGGTTAAGGCCATGTCAGGTGCATGTTTAAGTGTGCAGGTAAGGCTCATGTTTAAGTGACAGTCTGAGCAATATAATCCAAATATATTAGGTGGTTTATACAGTACTAGTCAAGGAAAAAATACTTTTAGAAAGCTCGTTGCGAGCACTGTTTTATCAATAGGTATAAATTGTGTTTGGGTCAGGTGCTCTCCGTTATCAATGGGATCAATGAGAGAAAATATGAGAGAAAGAAACTCTAAGTTACAATGTCCTAAGTGGACTTTTACCAAATTAAAAAATGAATTTTTGGTACAGGTAGCCTGAGAAAGATGTATACTGAGTTAGTTAATCAGAGAGGCTCAGTGGACAAAAGCGAGTGTTGGTATAGTCTTTTTGTGACCAGAGGTTATAGTGATGCACAGTAATTAGTTTTTTCTACTTTGATGCAATGGTTCCATAATGTGGTGGTTTAAACATTTATTTAACAAGACAAAGATCCAAAACATGCAGAACAACACAAATACTGGGAATAAATCCAAAAATCATAACATGAGACTTAGTGTTCAATCCCAGTTGGTAGATATGAAGGGCACTTAGTGGGTTAAAGTAACCAGGTGTCCCACTTTAAACCAGACTGTACAGCATTTTCAGTCTTCAGTATCTCCATCTTCATCTGCTGCTGTGGTGACTCGTCATCAACATTTAGATTCCAGGAGATTCTGTCCTAAATCCTGTCACGACTGAGATCTGTTCTGCTTTGATGGTTAATTGCCATATAGCGGGGGAGATACTCCTCTACTTGAACAAGCTTGATTATCTACATTTTTGTTCAGAAATTGACATACAGACATCATGGGCATGCATGCCATGGTCATTTTGGTCCATCAATTGAGCTATTCTTTTTCCAGGGTGGGATGATTGTACAGCATATATCTTTCATGACTTAAAAACAGATTTGGGTGCACAAATTTGAATGTATTCAGGATTTTCTTTAATTGACACAAGGTCAAAATAATATATACAGGCTCAAATATATACACAGATTCTCTTAAATATAATACAAGTGGTCATGAAGGTTCGATAATTTGCTAACTTGACAAAACCATGGCCTAATTTCTTGTTAGTGATTGTGATTGAATAAAACCAGTAGTTTCTCTTTGCCAGCATAAAAAGGATTTATTTGAAAGCACTCATTGGACTAACTAATACTCAGAACAGTGTGAAAGTCCATAAAACTTAGTGTAGATCAAACAAGGAGAACTGTAGATTTACATAATTTGGGAAGGTCTCTTGAATGAATCAATTTCCAAACAACTGCAAATTCCAAAATCATCAGTTTAAAAAATTGTATGCAAGTACAAGTTATTCAGATGTGTCACCACTTTGCCAAAGTCTCGAAGGAGACCCAATCTTTCACCCTCAAAAGATAGGAAAAGGATGTTCAGGAACAATCCAGGAATCACCAAAACCCAATCCTGTCATGAATTGGAAACTGCTGGAACACTACCATCAGTGTCCACAAGGAAGTGAGTTTTACTTTGCGATGAATTGAGACCGTGCTGACCAAGAAAGAAGCTGTGCTCCAAAATTGGGACTTTCAAGCTTGACTGAAATTTGCAACTGCCCACATAGACAAGCCAAATGCCTCCTGGAGAAATGTTTTATGGTTAGACAAGACAAATATTGAGCTATTAGCCAGTGAAAGAGGGAGTAATGGTGAGACTTTAAAACCTAAGAACACTATAACGATTGTCAAGAGTGGTAGTGGTAACATCATGCCCCAAGGCTGTTTTGCTGCTAGTGGCACTGGTACATACACAAAGTGGATAGAGTAATGAAGAAGAACTGCCTCCAAATTCTTCAACTTCACCTCAAGTTGGAAACTGGTAGATGGTTAAAACTTGGACACAACTGAGTATTCCAACAGGACAGTGGTCCACATTAAGTCCAAACATTAAGTTTCACTCATCTGCTTGCTTTCTTGAGTGTGCAAAGAATCTATTCTTATCATTACTTCGACTTTCCCATACCACCAAACTCAATGCTGACACCATTGCTGTAATCCAGTCGTCGCCTTTGAATCCTAACACCAGTGAGATCTGTTCTGCTATCATGGGTCAGTGTGGTCAAATAGCTTAAGTGAATTCTGTATCTCAAAAAATCCTGTTTAATTCTTCCAAACAATCTCTCTTATTGAAATATCAGTGGGGACGAATGCATATATTTTAATCCCTGGATGTATACTCTTGACTCTGTGTGGATTCAAATTTCTGGACCCTGAATTCTTGTTTTTCCACCCTGGAAGAAGACCAGTCCAATCAAATCAAATCACTAGTCCAATTTTACCATGACATTCATGTGCATGATAAATGTATGTAAACCTCTGTCCACAACTAAATATATTAATACTATGTTAATATGCATAATATGTGAATGATATCTGTTTTGCTTAACTTTAAAATGAAATGTATTTTCTCTGTAAACGCTGACTTTTTGCTCTTTAGGATCAGAAGTATTGATTTCACAGAGACGAAGCATTCATCTCCTGATTCCTGTTTCTCTCCCAAAGGTGCCTTCCTATTCTGCTGGACTCCTTTCTTTGTCCTCCACACAATGCGAGCACGCTGTCAAGAGTGCCACATCCCACCAGCCCTAATGAGCGTGGTGACGTGGCTGGGCTATGTCAACAGCGCCCTGAACCCTGTCATATACACTGTCTTCAACACTGAGTTCAGGAACTTCTTCAAAAAAGTCCTCCAGCGCTGTTGCTCATAGAACTACCGGAGTGGACGCTGCTCCGTGGACCATTCTTAAACGCACAACAGCTGCAAGAGATGCTGCTGACTGTTGATATGCTGTCTTTAGTCTGTTCATGTTGCCATGGTTTCCTTCCTCTGTGAGGTTTTTATTTTTCTACATTTGATGACAGCAAAGTGTGTTTGAGCTTCATGTTTCATGTGAAGAAGCTATTCTCTTAGTCTATAAGGTGGATCAATAGCATTTTTGCCATACACAACTTATTTTATATGTTGAAACTCATCTTTTCAGAATAAATGTTTTTGCTAAAAATACACATTAATAAGACTAGTCTCTTTCAGAGTTTGAGGCCCGCTTGAGAAAATGTTGACGAGTGCACAGATGAATCCAAGATGTAGGTGGAAGCAGACGGGTGTTGTGGAAGTTTTCCATTTAAATAAAGCCTGCAGACGAACGGTGAGCGGTAGCTAACGTTCTTTAATCCAAACACACAAAGAACAGAACACCAAGCTTGTGGAGAGCCCACATGACCGCGGGGCAGGGTCAGCAGAGTCTCACTGAGTCTAACGTGGCTCTCAGTTAAATACCTTCTCCAGGAACAAAAGGCAGTACACAGTTGTTTCACACCTTAAGGTTCACACTCCCTTGCTACCTCCCAGAGTCCTCGAAGAGACAAAAGACTCTTCCTGTGGAGCTGTCTGCTTCCCCCCAACTTCCTTACTACACCCCCACCATTTGTCTTACTGTATGAGTGTCAGACATGTTAAAATCCAGCGGCACCAAGGCATTATACAATAAAATAATGTGATTAATACATAAGTAAAAGAAATTTCTATACACGGGCAATCATTACGTCGTCATAAAATCATTTGTAAGCCCTTTTGCCAGGAAAGTAGTTGAAAATGTAGTCATCAAATGCCACTGAAAGGTTTTAATCTGCCATGGTGGAGTGTGATGTAGGACCCAAATGCAGATAGAGTGAGCTGGAGTACGAACAAAAAGCCAGCTGTTTATTTAGGCTGGTAACCCAATAGCAAAACCAAACAGAAATCAGCATGATCAAAACTGGAGCACTAGGGATTCTAGGGAATACATGGGATTTAGGGATTTTTACACACAAAAATAATCTCATTAATAACTGAAAACACCATAAATACAAGAATCTAAAAATAAATTCAACACTTGAGCAGAAACCCAGGGTCCATGGCAATAATCCTCTTAACCTCCCAAGGCTAAGTTGTTTTTGTTTTTGTGTTGTTCTTGAGTGTTAAACTGTTCACACCACACATTACACATCTATTCCATTAAAGTCATAACAACAGACTTTATGATTCAAGTCATCAGGTAGCAGGTAATTCCCACTAGTCTGAATGAGCTAATCCAGTCAATGCCTTTACATTCAAATGAGTTCCCTCTGCTCGAGACTGGTTCTATTACTGACTAACTTTTTTAAGACTGAAAGTTGGGGCGTGGCCACTTCGATCAATATGTGGACACTGTGTGTTGCACTTCACTTCTTGTTGGATTCACTTAATTGGACTTATGCTGTGTTTGTGTTGCTGATGCCTTTTGGAGTTTTTTGTTTGTTTCTTTGTTTTTTTTATGGAATTATCTGATATATAACATGATGATATATAACATTATTCTTCAGATTTTAAGAATGAAATTCATGTTGCAAACACATGTGGTGTTTGTAGATGAAGATCAGATCCCCAGCAGCTAGAACACTAACCCCACGGCTTTAAAATGAGTGCACAATCCAAATGGTGATGCCAGGGTGGCTATGTCTATCTCATATATACAGTCTATGGTTATTTTGAGTGGAAATGGCCACATGTAGGTTAATATTACTGTCATGACCCAAGAAAACAATTTCTAAGCAACCATATTCAGACATGGTAAAAAGTAACAAGTACACTTTCAATTCTTAAGTTTTACACAGTAGGACATGAAAAACAAACAAACAATCATAACCTGAACATGACATATTACTCCACAATGTCATTATGTATTTAAGAATTAATTGAGGTTTGTGGTTTTATGTACAACTCTGACTTTGGGCCAAGCTTTCGCTGTCAGAGAGATGGTCACACATTTGACTCTGTAATACTTTAGGAGTCTATGACTGGGTCAAATCATTGCCCTTCCACAACCCTGCTTGACAGGTGGTGTGAGATGTATGTGGTACTGGGCATTATGAGAAAAAATCATTACTTTTGGTCTCATCGCCCAAAAGGACGTTGTTCCAGAAGTCTTGTAGTCTGTTTAGATGCAGCTTTGCAAAAATAAACTGTGCTGCCATGTTCTTTTCTTTTTTTCCTGGCAAACCTTCCAACCTTCCACAAGCCATACTTGTTCAGTCTTTTTCAAACTGTACTGCCATGAACTTGTCTGCTTTTATAGAGGTGGACACACGTGTTGGTGATTCGTTAGTCAAGTGCATTTGATTAGCAGCACCTGGCTGCTATATAACCTCTTAATTCCTATGGAAGCAGTATGGCTGTACTTAGGTTTTCTCATTGTTTTTGCATTTTTCTTAAATAAATAATGATACTGAGTGTTTCTTTTTCAGCCACCTTTTTCACTCACTATGTGTTTATACACCAAACTGCATTTAATTATTAGTTATTATTAACCTCTGGCTCTCTTCTACAGCACGTCTTTGTCCTGTCCTCCTACCCCCTGCCCCCAACCGGTCGCAGCAGATGGGCGCCCCTCATTGAGCATGGTTTTGCTGGAGGTTTCTTCCTGTTATTAAGTGCTTGCTCATAGGGGGTCATATGATTGTCTTGATTTTCTGTTTTCTCTGAATTATTGTAGGGTCTTTACCTTACAATATAAAGCACCTTGAGGCAACTGTTGTTGTGATTTGGTGCTATATAAATTAAACTGAATTGATATGAAATACAGTCTCATGTGTTGTTCATCTGAGATTGCATTTCCTAATGTTAATATCTGATAAGGACCAGATTATCTTTATTATGTGTTATACACTCCTTAGGGTTGAAATAGGGCATTCTTACTTTTTGCTATCGCTCTATCTTGATTTCGCAATTTAAAAATCATATTTTTTCATTATGGATAATCTAATTATCCATAATGATTACCAAAAAGAATTTCATTGCGGCACCACCATGTAATTTATAACACTGCTACATCACTGCAGCAAAGGGAGATTGTAAGCCATAATGTCAGCAGAAGTAAGCTTTATAACTAGTGTTTAAGTTGCTCCTAACATCAGTCCTGACTGAATGGGGTCCCTACAGAACCTTGAACACACAAAAGAACATTATCATTATTTGATAGTGAAAAGTCAAGAAGGCCAACAGATTACATCAATCAAAACAGGCCAGGCCAACAGGGAAGGCGATTTTTAAAATCCCTCAACTCTACATTTACAGATGTGAATTTTGGCATTAAGTCAATAAAATTGCCTCGCTGTGGTTAGGCTAAGCAGTAAGTGCCAGAAATGGCTCGTTCCGTCACTATCAGTGATCAGCAGCAGACACCTGAGTGCTGCTGGGCCTGAGACCCAGCAGAATCAAATGTCATGTCCAAAATGATTAATAAGGAGTCACTCTAATATAGCAGGTAGGCTACCAACTTGTTATTAAAAAGCAAAACTCTATTTAGCTGCACATCAGGGAAAATAAAAAAGCTAAATGTGCAAAAAGAAGAGAAATGGCCTTAATGTATGAAATAACAACCAAAAAAACCAAACAAATAACACTAGTAGTTTGCTGAACTCTTTTTATTAATCAGTGAAACACAAAGAAAACGATCTTTACCTTTATATTTACAATTGCTTATAATACCTGTACATTCTTTCTGGACTTCAAGGGCTCTGTAGCAACAGAATAACACACATATACAAATGTAAGAAAATAATAATTTACATACATAGTTTTTGCCAGAAAAAATCAAATCATTCAGGACAGCAGTTTTGTTTGTTTCATGTTCAAGTCACTTCATCATCCTGAATTAAAGATAGATCCTCAACTTTAAATTCTCTAAATCCTCATCAGTGATAGCCAACCTTGATTCTTTAATATCAAAATATGTCATTTCTGTCTGCTGAAAAATGTTCTGCAAAGTTTTGGCATGAGGGGACTGAAACTGAAAAATTTTCCCCAAAACACATTGTTATTTAACTCTAAAAATAATTGTCTTGCTTTTCATCATCAAAATGTAGACGTCAAAAGATTGACCAACTTTCTTCTGATTAGCAGGTTGCAGCAGCCAAAGCTGATTTCCTGAGATGACCATATTAGCACTTTGAAGTCTGAACTTTTGACTCACAGGGATTACTTGTACATACACTGAACCCAAAATCTGGCCACTGTGCTCATGCATACATAACAAAAAAGAAGATGTCCTCTTTAATCAGGACTGTTTTTAGAGAATAATGAGGTAAACGAGGTAAAATGGCAACAGCGGAGAGGTAACAGTGGCTGATGGAAGATATAGACCATATGACAACTGATGACACAATGTAATAAAGTCGCTAAAATATGATAGAATTAGGGACAAGATAAATTTATGATGAAAATATTAGTTAGAACCACCACTTCATTGGATACTGCTGCAATAACTCCTTAATACTTTTCATAAATGCTAAGTCAGTCTAGTCTAACTTCAGCTCTCACTCCATCAGTGACCTTTTTTTACATGTCAGCCTGAGAAAAAACCTTCACACTAAACTCTCTAAATACTGCTATTTTCAAGCAGGTGTGTTCTCCCAGTTTAGGTCATTCAGTCTGCAGCAGCTGTTAACCTCACTGAAACGATGCACACGCTTTTTCCTAAACTGCTACACCTTCACTTCACTTTGTCCATGTCAATGGCTGTGATTGGCTCTTCCTGCTGGACAACCATGCCCGCTGCTGACTGAGTGCAGGTGTGTTGATGGTCCTTCCAGTCCTGTGGACAAAAGAGACGGACGTGTGAAGTGACTGATTTTGAAAATCAAGTAGCAACCTTTTGGCATGAAAAATGAAAAGAAAAATGTCAAAAACTGCCTGCAAGGCCTCAAACATGTGTTTACATTGTTAGTGCCTTTATGAACATTTTAACTGAATGATCTGACAAATAGTATGGCTTCCTGTGTGGTACAGATCATCTAGAAGTCTGTGCTTCAGTTTTAGTGGGTAAAGTTCTAGTATTGCAGCATAGTCTGACTCCATCCAATCATTTAAATCATGATTAAAAACTCACTTATTTAATCATTCTTTCCCGGTTAGTTAACGCCTGTATTTTATACTTAATTCCAATTTTATCTTTCTTTATATCTTTTTCTACTTAAAACCTGTGTGTTTTTAGCAAGTTTGATTTGATATTCATTTTTATTCTTGTGTAATTAGTGCCACCGACCTGTAAGCATATTCAGTACTTTGTTAATGGTCTTATATTATTCATGTTTTAACCTGTTGTTTTATTGTGAAGAACTTTGGTATACCGTTGGTTTTTCAATGAGCTATATAAATAAAGTTGTATTGTATTGTATTGTGGTGTAGTCTATAGTCTGTTACTTTATAAAAATTATAGTGTATCTATGAGGGGATTAGTTTATGAATGCAGCTTGCTGACAATATTTGTTAACTTTAGCTGATAACTTAGGATTACCTCCAAATATGGTCACCTCTGGAA